CAAAATCTGAAATTTTGCAAGTTAAGCTAAGTATGAGTTTTTGGTCGACTTCAAATGACCATAACTCATAGCTCAAGATTGTTCTACCATATACCGTAGGAAATATCTTTGAATTATATTTCCAACGCCACCGAGTTTTCTAAGTTTCGAGGTCGGATGAGTGAGATATGGCCCTTTGAAGTTAGGTCGTCCAGTTAAGGAAAGTTAGCCGAAAATAGTAAGGGGTATTTTGGTCTTTTCTTTACCAAATCAGATTTAATTCATTTTTAGTAAGGTTTTAAGGGTATAATCCTATTAGGTTCAATTTTGTAATCCTAGAATACGCCTACGGTTTTAGTTGAGAGTTCAAGAAGAGAAAAGAAGAAGAAAGAAGAGGAGAAAAGAGAAAGGATCAAAGCGTTCGTCGAAATTCTTGAGAGTTGTTGTGGATTGTCGCCATGGGTTTGATCCCTAAGAGGTATGTGAGATCACATAGCATTGGGTTAGTTCACCCATGCACCAATCATGATTTAATTCAGCGAATTTAAGTCTTTGAAGGTTTAGAAATTGAGTTCTTGATGAACATTGTTGAAGGTTTTCTTGAATTCTTGTGGGTTGTGTTGATTGAAGTTTCTTGTGATTTGATTCATGTTTACGGGTGTAATTTCGGTTTGAATCTATCGTATATTGGGGGTATAAATGATGCTACATGTTCGGGGAAGGAACCATGGAAGTTTAGAGGGTTTATAGATGAAAAACGGAGAAGAAAAGTCGTCAAATACCTGGGGATAGGGGTGGGGAGTCGCGCTAGCCAGCGCGTCCCAAAAGTGTTTCTGAATATTCACCCTTGGGGGGCCGCGCCAGCCAGCGCGCCCTAAACCAGTCCCTAAATGTTGAGGGCTGGCGCTCCGCGCCTCTCAGAGCGCCAGGGACGCCAGTTCTCCCCATTCATTCCCCACCTTTCCGTACTAGTTCCTTAGCAATGTACCAACATTTTCTAGTTGATTCCAACACTCTAAGGTACATCTAAACATCATGAAATCATCCATAAATATGAGATCATGAACCTTGAATCCATAATCCAATTCAAGGAAAGTTAAGATCGAAGTCAAGAGAAGTTAAGAGTCAAGTCTAGAGAGTTCTCTCAAACATTTTTTTTTGAGAAAGTCCCTTTGAATCCATCATCGATTTGAGTTAAGTTTTGAGGAAGTAAGTAAGATAAAGAGAAGAGTCGTATACATGAGTTCCATGTAGTTTGTAGACCTTCAAGTCGAGTCGTTCATGCCCATAAATTCCTCATGGACTCCATAAATTGAGTATCATTGAGAGGAATAGTATCTTCAAGTTCTAAGTCTTGGATATTGAGTTCCTAATTCCCTTTGAGATTATATTTCTAATCATGGGACTATTACATGTTACCCATGAAGTTTGAGTTGGGTTA